AATGACATGAGACAAAGTATATGTGAACTGCTGTATGGAAAGTGAATTTGCTCTGTATATCTTCACCCAAATAAAAATAAATAAATTAGTTAATTAAAAAAAAAAATACTGTAATTGCAATGTATCCACAAAAGCCTAATCTGTATATCATGTGATTCTGTTATATCAAAATAAAAATCTTTCTTTTGTAGAATAAGACCTCTTTCTGACGGCAACAGTCCTTGGTCAACTGTCTTCATAAAAAATCAGAAAACTATGCCTTTGACCTCATTATTTGTGGACCAACCAGGTAAATGTGTTTGAGGAATAGAATTTATTTGAATTAGATTTAGCATCAGCTTGTTCTAATGTTTTGTTGTAATAGTCCTCCTGTGGCCTTGAAATATCATAAGGAGGGTTAGCAAATAGTAACATTTACTTTTAGTTTTCACTTAAGCTCAAACATTATTTTCTGTAGTATAAACCTTTACAGTGAAAAATAATTAGACTCCATATGTTTTTAGATAATTTGTAACTACTATTCTATACCAATAAAATTACTTACCTAGAGCCAGATTAGTTTCATGTAGGAGATAGTAAATGAGAATATAAAGACCCTCTCCAAGTTCTCCTGAGCTCCTGATGAGTGGAACTCCTGACTATACTGCTCCCTCTACATGTGGTGAAATCTTACGAAGAGTTTAAAAAAACCAAACTCACTGCTGTGGAGTTGAGTCCTACTCATAGCAACCCCCCTTGGGTTTCTGAGGCGGTATCACTACGGAAGTAGATTGCCCAACCTTCCTTCTGTCTGTAAAATTACTGCTTGGGGAGTATTACATGGGAATTTCTATTTAATTTGAATGAATCATAATGATACTGATATTAAAAAGTTGAAGAGATCATGGAAATTACTGAAAAACCTTAAGGATTGTTATTATGGAAGAAAAGAAAATTGATCGTTTTACTTAACACTTAAGATAGCCCTTTACTCTTTTAATATTAATGGCCATATTAGAGGTGTTTTAGCCATACTCGGTGTGGTTTTCTTGAATTTATTATCAGTGCTGTGCTCAATTTTATAAGTACCATTTCAGTCACTATTCATGTTCCATTTCTTCTTATGTATTGCCATAAGGATGTGTTCTCACTATAAATATCTCCATAAATACCTTTGAGTATTAATAAGGCAAGTGCTGTGTAATTTTTGGATAAGTGTTTTTTATTATTCAAATCCATTATTATATTCTGACCCTTGCTTTAAAGACATTCTCCTCTGATTACATACTGCGATTTATTATCAAAGATACTTTGAAGGCTAATGAAGAACAGTTAATAGTAATAAAACTATTACTCCAACAGTATATTCTTCATTATTTGTGGCCTTTTGTCCAGATAGAAGGATTAAAGAGAGAAGACTTCCTGCTTTTTTATTTTTTTCCTTAATTCTTTTGTCCTTTGTTAGAATATTTTTGTCTTATTAATAACACCCCCAAAGTTCACTTGAGGGGTTAAGGAGCAGAAAGAAGGGTTTACATTTGTCTGCTCTGCTTAAAAGCCCTCCTCTCCACCACTGCCTCTGTGTGCCCAGATCCTTTTAGTCATTGTGTCTCAGCTCAAGTGAGCCTTTTCTGAGCACTTTAGCTAAAAATATTCTCTTCCCTCATTGCTCTCTATCCCATTACCCATTATATTTATTCATAGCTCCCATTTTCTGTCACCCTCAAACTAGAATGTAAGCTCCTTGAAGGCAAGAGATTTATATATATTTTCCCCATTCTATTCTCAATTTCAGGAACATAATAAGCACTCAATGTTTAGCATAGTGCCTAAGGCATTTGACTGCTAACCAGAAGGCTGGTGGTTCAAACCCACCAGCCACTTCCCAGAAGGAAGATGGGGCAATTTACTTCTGTAGTGATACTGCCTCGGAAACCCAAGGAAGGGTCGCTATGAGTCGGGTCTGACTTGATGGCAAATAACAACAACAAGTCAACCCTAAAAGGAATATTTGACCTAATATAGATATTACTTTTATTTACCTTGAGAGCTCTCATGGCATAATGTCTAAGGCATTTGGCTCCTAACCAGAAGCCTGGTGGTTCAAACCCTCCAGCCACTCCTGAGAAAGACGGCTGGACAATCTACTTCTGTAGTGATACTGCCTTGGAAACCCAAGGAGGGGTTGCTATGAGTTGGAATTGACTTGACGGCAGCGAGTTTGGTTTTGGTTTTTTATTTACCTTGACTTGGTGCTATAAATATATGCCAGTGGTCATAAGTAATGGGAAAGATTATGGGTGGGTCCATGTAAAGCCATGACCAATTCAGGGGAGAAATGAAGGTTTTATTGCTCAACACTGATGCATGTAAACATGCATGAGGAGATGCTCAACATACTTGAATATAGGGATTTAATTTGTCTGAGCTCTGGTAGCATAGTGCCTAAAGCACTTGACTGCTAACCAGAAGGGTAGTGCTTCCAACCCACCAGCCACTCCTTGGAAGGAAGGGTGGGCAATCTACTTCCATAGTGATACCATCTCAGAAACCCAAGGAGGGGTTGCCATGAGTTGGGTCTGACTCAACGGCACGTAACAACAACAACATACCATCTTCCTTGTTTATTCCTAATCATGATAGATAATTTGATATTCATTACATATACTGTACATTTGAATCACCAAATTGTATTCAGTGCCACCTTGATGAAGGCACTATTCAGGGAAGACCCCCTTAGAAGGTAAAAAACAAGGGAGTATGTCCTCAGAAGCTTACTATCTGATAGCATGCATTGAGCTGACTGTGCTCTGGAAGTAAACAAAAGGACACCTGAGAGATGCTGGAGAGGCTTCCAAGGAAGCCGGGATTTATTGAAGGTTGGGAGATGGTTAGGGTTAGGCTATAGGCAGTGCTAGTGTTTTGAGAGAGAATTTAAGGCCAGTGGAACTTGGGTAAGTAGTGTTAGAGAGTGGAAGAATGAACTGAGGAAGAAGAGGGCACCTTGGACAAAAGATACTGATGGGAAGGTCATGGGTCTGACTGGAGAAAAGCTGGCCTTCTAGCTTGCCCAGTGCTCTGGTAACCTAGTGCTGCTCTTACAGAAGATACCACAAATGGGTGTCTTGAACAAACAGGAGTTTATTCTCTTATAGTTTTGGACGCTAAAGTCTGAGTTCAGAGTGCCAGGTCTAGGGGCTGGTAAGTCCAAGGTCAACAAATAAAATGGCATTACCATATTACCAGATATTACCCAGTATTACCAAATCACATAGCAGGCCATTGATTCAAGTCCCATTATCAGTCCCAAGACAGTCAGACAACATGGCAGGCTGCTGAATAATGACTTGGCTACATGCAAGATTCAAGCATGCCAAAAGCTGTAGGCCATTTCTAAAGCTTCTCCTTATATATTGGGAGCAGACCATATTCCTAAGGCAGCCACTCCACTGCTCACAGTAGATTGCACCATGGAGTTGATTACCAGTCTCATCACAGGGAATACTACATCCAGCTGCCCAGCCACTCAAAACCAGGCCCAGCCAAGTTGACACATAGCCTTAACTACCACACCAAGATTATAGAACATATTTTAGATGTAATAGGATATAATGCTAGAACAATAGTCAGAAGTTCCGTTGTAGTGTGCTTTAAAATTAGATTAAGGAGTTTTTAGTGAATGCCTTCATGGTCAAGCAAATAATGAAAAGAACCGTAGTATCCTCTTTAGCTTGTCTAACTTGTAACCCTTTGGCACTTTGTGACCTCTTATAGAAACTTACCTATTGCAAATAGGTTCCCAAACTTTAGTAAAAGCTTGTCAAAACATAGAAAGCTGTATTCCACCCCTAGAATTTGTGATTCAGCAGTCTGGTAGGCCAAGAATTTGTATTTCTTCCAGTTTCCAAAAAATGCTGATGCTGCTGGTCCAGGCCAAACCTTCTGAGAAACTGATCTATTGTATAACTCTTCTTTTAAACATATGTTAGCTATGTTGTTGTTGTTGTTGTTAAGTGCCGTCAAGTCGTTTCCGACTCATAGCGACCCCATGCAGAGCAGAAAGAAACACTGCCCGATCCCGCGCCAGCCCCACAATCCCTGCTATACTTGAGCCCATCACCGCGGCCACCGTATCAATCCATCTCGTTGAAGGCCTCCCTCTCTTTTGTCGACCCTCCACCCTACCAAGCATGACATCCTTCTCCAGGGAATGGTCCCTTCTTACAACATGACCAAAGTAGGT